ATCATCATCATCATCATCATCGTCATCATCATCATCATCATCATCATAATGATGATGATGATGATCATCATCATCATCATTATCATCATCTTTATCATCATCATTATTTTCATCATCATCATCATCATCATAATCATCATCACCATGATATCATCGTCTTCTTCTTCGTCATTTTCATCATCGCCGTGTTCTCCGTCAACGACATCTTCATTAACAACAACCGTTAACGAGAGGGCGCTGCGCTACACTTATCTGTGTCATATATCTAAGACTGAAATATTCAAGTTTATTCGGCAACTCTCCGTATCAGGATGAGAAAACGAGATTTAGTCTAGCAGAGGAATGGTCGAGACAACAGTGAACTCAAGCGGTGCGAGCTCGCCAACCAATGTACGGTCTAGGTTCAAAGTGCCAACTAGTTGTTAACTAGTGGTTCTAGACTATCGAAGTAAAGCTAAAATCAAGAGAATCGGGGAGAACCCGGGGGTTGTAAGTTATATCTTCAACTTTGCTGCAAGTCACAGGCCAAAATTAGGGTCACGTAATACTTTGCTAGCTAACAACATAAATCCAATCAGCTAAGTCACAAGAATTATGGCCAGTTTTTGGATAAATGTTTCACCACACATTCGACTTCCTAGTGTACTGGAATAGCGAATAGGTAGGTAGCGTTTTCGAGGTAAGTTGTGAGAATGTCTCCACTTGAAAGTGCCATAAACCGGTTATTGTCGCCTACACTCTATATGTTTCGAGTCGCCGTACAATGAAGTGACTGGTGGTGATACATGAAAACGTTTCAGGTATCCCACAATTGAGAAGTGATTTCTGGTCCTAACGATATTGCGTTCGCTGTAACATGCCTTCTTTGAATAGCAACAAACATTTTGTACTAGTTACCTGCTACGTTCATATCCAAAGCAAAGTTGGTTTTTCCTCCTTTTGCATTAGGTCCACGCGACATACCTAACCACACCTAGTTGTGTGTAAAAAGATACATCTACTGTCAGCACTCCGATCAATCTCGATCAAATCGGGACATTTGTGTCCAGGTCCTTCAAAATGCCGCACAAACAGCGCACCCAACGCGGCACCTGGAACAGCGAAGCGTAGCAGTTTCCTGCATCACCGGCCCACGTGCTTTTTACCTGGATATCAAGTCCTTGCTGAGAGGAGTGTACATTGAAAGTGCACTGAAATGATCACCCGCTGTGAGAAACATATACTCACGTGTTGGTGGGTATGTGCGGAAGTATAAAAATAAATGTGAACTACAGTTAGCCGACCCGAGTGATCGACCTATCCTCAAACTCTTTTGTTCGGGATGTTGCGAACGATTTCGATCCTGTTATTCCTTCTAATCTGTGGTGAGTTAAAGTCACACCGTCTGCGCACTTACAATCTACTATTCAATCATTTGCTTACACAAAGAGAGTATGCAGCTTAATCCAAGTGATAAGTTAACACACTATTAAGAAATTGGGTTCTTGGCACCTCAAGAGGGTTTATATTTATCTAGGATTAATCTATTGAACGAGTAATGTAGTAGTGAAAGACACCTACGAAGAAGTACCAAACTGCCCTTTTTAACGGTTCTGTAACTAAGGTACGAGTAGGAAGACATCACGGGGAAAGGGATACCCAACCTCTCTTAATGGTGGTCGAGGTCAATCAAATCGCAGCCGATTCGGAATGTTCTTGTGGACACTCATACACGTGGCCTCAGTTCGGATGTACCTCCCTAAGAATGTGTACGCATATGCGTACGTAGTTGTTAGTTGTACATAGTCTAGAGAGCAAAAGCACTGAACTAGATTTTTGTTCTAATTGGAGCTCAGTACCAGTGCCTACCCTCCGTCATGCCGGACTCCGGACGTCTTACCCGTAAGGCGAGTAAGTTACCACTCTTCCACGAACTCGCAGTAAAAGTATCTTGCTAAGTACGCCTGAAAAAGTGAACACGTTCACATATGAGTGATGTGCCCGGTTGGAGGACGCCTGGAAAGACGACTTTACTTGTTCCCTAAGACATCTACTCCCGACCATGCTAGGGAATTTAGAGCACAGCACACAATTCGGTTTCCAAATACTGATCTTTCTGTGTCTTGTTACCATTCCATCCAAAGACAACACGAGGATTGAGGCACTGTCCGGATGCTCAATTGTACACAAGAACGGTCAGTTGGGTTTGTACTACAGAACGTCCGGTCAGTAAGATCACGCATTAGCCAATGAGTCAGTGCAGAATATGTGAGCATTAAGGAGGTTTTGTGATAAGGGCGCCGGGAACTCAAGCGCCATCCATAAGTGCACGGCATGGTTTGTCTACAACGTCGTGTGTGCGTTTCATTGTATAGATACCGCACATTATCCAGCTAGCGTTCCATGAATGCCCAAGAATTGATGGAATGGAACGTCTTGGAACATATGTTTGGCATACCAAGTGTACGATAGTCATTTTCATCGTCTTTTCGTCTCATCTGAGCAGCGCATTCGGGTTCTATCCAGAACTCAAATGTTCGTAGCTCAGGTTGATCACCCGTGTTCGAATCCAAGTGTTCTACAACACGCTGAGACGATAATGTGTAGCTGTGTTGCCGAGTAGATCTGGTAGCATGAGGTACCGATTAGATCAGCGCTGAAACGTTCACTAAAAACCCGAAGATAAAAAAGCAATGCTACCGCCAGGCCTCCTTGAGTTTAGCGGCGTACGCAACGTTAAGATATGATACAATACAGTACAGCGTGACAGTGCGGTCCATTGTAGTGCATAGTGTAGTGCATAGTATAGTATAGATTCTATTAACAAAGAGGTCAGTCAAATGTATCCAGTCGAGCAGAAGAGCAGAATATGCTCACCGAATTTCACGCCGTATATGCAGCTAGTCATTGCATCAGGATCACAAAAACCTGGAGAGTGCTAGGAGAGCTTGTGTGCGCATATAATGAGCTTGAGTCTAGGATGTGCTTTTCGGACGGGACGTACGAAGACTTTCGGGGAAAAGTTATCTCTGATCACGGGTGGAATGTTTCCTTATTTGAGATGGATTTTGGACATTAATGTTCCCCGGGTAGAGGTCAGCTCGCAAAAATATTTAACAATCACTTATTTTGATTTGATATGATACTGGGTTGGATGAAGGTAACGTCTAAGGGCGAATTAAGGAAGGTTATAGAAAAATGCTGGTGAACAAATTGCTGTGAGGGCAAATGATGTCTTCTCAGGCATAGGAGAAGCGTTATCCCACTAACGCTTCCGTCTCCTAAGGCTGTATGTAAGTTAAAGTACTCCGCCGGTAGTCTTTGACTGCGCATTCTATCTTTCGAGACAACAAATGTCTGGGTTTTTTGGTTTTTCGCGGAATTCACTGGACTGAGCTGAAACCAGCGCGTGAAGAAGATACTGCTGCGCGACCTGGCTGCATTTGGGTCCGCACTAGACCCACGTTAAGAATGTATCATGAACCGACCGTGTCATAAAATTTGCCAGTGGTGCTGTTGAAGCAATCAACCCCGATCATCACGTCAAAAAGTTTGCACTTGACCGCACCACAACCAGCTTTTGAACTTCATCTATCTGAAAGTTACTCGGTGATACACGGCTCAGCTAAACCCAAGTAAAGGTGTCTAATGGGATCTGTTGCCCGCCGTGGAAGTTGTAGCCATTTATTTAGGGTTTCAGAATGTGCTCAGGTATGCAACTTCCCCACCTATTTGGCTTTCATATCTTACTTTGTTCGTGTTCACCGAAAGCAAGTAATTAGTTGCATCCATCTTATTTACAGCTGCAAACGCACAGACAAACTACCGGGGGGAGTGTAAGTTCATTTGTTGCTTTAAAGTGACTTGCATGCTCATGAGTTAATTTCTCCTTATATTTTAACTGATTCGTTTTGCCGTGGCTACTCGTGTAACGGTGGATACTACTGATGGGGGCATGCGAGTAGTATGTTCTCTCGTAAATCCGCTTCGCGTCCTTTGAAAAGTGAGATCTATTACGGAATTTGTGGAGTCGCACTTGCTTGCACTTGAGCAATAGTCAATGAATATCACGGAAAGTTCAGGAAGACGCTTTCAAGGAGAAGATTAATATTCAGTTTCTCTAAAAAGGATGCAAATGAGAGTTTTGCTTCCCTGTCTAATAGTCTGCAACTGTTTACTTGGCGTTTCCCAGCGACTCAGCGGTGAAGGCTTTCTTTCTTTCACTCGTATAGTAAAAATCTTGGTCGGAATTTTCAAAAAATTTCTCTCAGACCTGAAAAATACTTCAAGTAACTTTACAGCAAAGAAAGACTGACGGTGAGCCTCCGGAGGACCAAAATAACATATCATCACGGAAATACCGTAAGGAAAAATGACATATCTTCTCGTGATCCATCACCGCTGCGGCTGAAGTATCAAATTCGAACGTACCATGTTTTCAATTACTAAACAGTCCTTCGAGAAACTCGCTCGTTTAGCGCTGAGCCTATAGACTGAAGATTACGGAGCACATCCGCTGGTCATATCCCTTGGGAAACATTTGCTCTCCTACGCTTTCATTCGCTCAGCTAATCCACTTCAGTTGTATAACTTTATACATTCACGTTATACTACTGAGGACATTCGGTTTTTGGGGTGAACCCTAGTTTCATCTATCGCTAACCGGGCGCACCTCAGTAACCATTGACCGATTATTTGCACATCCGATGTATAGAGTGCTTTTTTCAAACAAAAAGATGATCACTCTGCTATCGCACTTC